ACTTCGGAGAGTTATGTTCGGATTGATGCGTTCGTTTGTTAAATTAGGTTGAGACCCACTCATCGCAGTAACTAAGTCGCTTCCAGTAGGTAGTAATATCATTATTAATCGAATGTAAATTAATATTGAACTACTTTTCTTATAGTAAATGATTTTAAAATTGTTTGAGAAACAGTGCATGATATAGTATATTATGTTTGAAGAAAATCATTATATCGAGTGTATGAGTTTTGTTAGTACGGACTTAAAGTACTCAATTGTTTTATCTTGAAGCATGGTTTGAGTACTTATCGTATAATTTACTTTGTTTAATATTGTCATTCATTCATTAATCATACCAAATTATCATCGGTATCACACACATTTTAATGCACATTTTAATGGAAAAAACCTTCATGTGGGAAATAGACCATAAACTATAAGCTGCCAGCATCAAGAGAGGTTTGTCATCATGTCATTTCATTTTGTAATTGATGTAATTGATAATTTGATAAATGTAAACAGTAAAATAAAATTTTCCTAATTACAATAACATTTACCATTTATCAAACCTGCTTCAAAATATTAAGCGAAACCAAAAAAATGCTCTGTAGAAATATAACTTTCCAAACGATTTACGGGTAAATTAATTAACTTTCATGTATAATATTGGCTTTCAAAGTAATTATTCGTAGAATCCTTAGATGAAGTGATTTAATAGTGACTTTTTATTGTTTGTATTTTCCTTCTGGTAGTGTCCACTAAATAGCGCAAGTTTTAAAACGTTGCCATCCCTCTTAATATTTTTAATTTGAGTTTTTTGTACAAAAATATCTGTACCAACATACTAAAATCAAAATTGATGTAATTTTCTTTTAAACATTTCTTTTTTATAATATAAGATGACATATGAGCAAGCCGCCACCTGAATTAACCGATATGAAGAGCGACCGCTGCCCATAAACCTCCGCAATTGCATAAAGAGGACTTTTCCCCTTCCTATGCGTTTCCTCCACCGTCAAATCCACTTATTCTTCCCATCCATCCCTCTTATGGAAAGGGTGGAAAGGGAAAGGGACTAAAATTAGGCCTCCGGCACCACACTCATCATACGAAACGCAGAATTGCTTCCACTTCACGCCTGTTTTCTGTGTGGTCATGGTATTTCACTGGGCGAGCCTGCCCATTCGTGCGAAGATGTTAAAGCGGGCTCTCCCACTGTCAAAAACCAGTTTAGTAGATTTTTTAAAAGTGTATTTTTTTAATTAATTACGGGTCAAAGAAAACAAATATAACATAATATATGTCTTATATTTGTACCAGAAATCCTTATTTAACACGTTTTAATGATATAATAGGAATAGCTTAAATGTTTATGCAGTTTCGTTATTTTTTTTATGTTACTGAAATATCTAAATCTTTATGTCGTTCTAACATACGTACGTCTTTTCTTACATTTGAATCGGGGACTCGGCGAGGCGTCTTTGTTGCCTAGCAACGGTCGTTAGACTAATAAGCAAGACCAACACAAAGATGTTCAGTATTCTATCCTCTTGTCGTTTGAGTTCGAATGTAATAACAATTTTAATATATATCTATACCAATATTATAAAGAAGAAAGATTTGTATTTTTGTCTGTATTGAACTAAAAATAATTGGACCGATTGAAAAAATTCTCGCCCCATTAAAAAGCTGTATTTTTTCTGTTTTTTGTTTTTTTTTATTTCACGCGGAAGTTATTTCATATTCTTGCTTACACTGATCTGTTTAAATTGTTAGTTATTTGCTTGGAGTTGACAGCATTTGTTGCGTTCCGATTTAAACGCGCCTGTTAATGTTAATTCTACTATTAGTTTCAATTCTTGTCTCAATCGCCGCCACGACTGTTGGCGCCAAAATGGTGAAAATCATATAGGCAAATAATACCTTGTATTATCTTTTTACTTAAGAACGATTCTTGTCCATGGAAAAATTTTCCACTCCTTTGTCTATCACCTTTGTATTTAAATAGAAATTTAACAAAAAAGTGTAGCCCATGACAAACAAATAAGTATCAAATGGGTTCATTGACCTTTGAAGTATTGACATCAGGTGATTTGCCAAAAATAATTTTAAATGATTTGAAAATCGGCAACACTTACATTGTTATAAGAAAACAACATTGAAAGCAAATTATGTAAGCAGATTTACTTCAACAATGACAATGGACGTATGAACAATACGTATTGACGAATTATTTGGCATCGATCACTGGACCACAATGCCGAGCGAATTCTTTTGCCAACATAAGGGGTGTTTAAAAATGTATATTTTATTTAAAACTAGCTGTTCCCTTGCGACTTCATCCGCATAGAATTATGAAAATTTTATTTTGTTGTTTACATGGGTCAAATTATCAATTGCAAATGTCAAAATGACATGAAATTATGACAAACCATGGCAACCTTGCTTCCTTGATGTTGACAGCAACTTATGGTCTCATACCCACATTAGGGATTTTATTTAAAATATTTACCCCTAAGTTTAATGGCGTGAAATATATAGCCTAAAGCGTGACGTAAGTATGGGGCTTTTTAATAAAAAAAGAATTTTTAAAAAAATATGCCGTAATTGCTGACATCTTAGGCAACAAAGTAGTGTGTGTTTACGCTTTATTATATTAGTATAGATAGATAAAATAGTAATTAAAATAGAATCAATGAAATTAAAACAGATATTTTATCAATCCCTTACCAAAAATCTTTACAGTTTATCCACTTATTTTAATTAAAACATATGAAACCAAATCGCAACATTTGTGCTACTTAAATTACCGTATGTAGTTAGAATTCTATTTCAGGTAACTGCGACGTCGATACCTTGATAACCTATGCCTTGATGAGCCTTCAACTACACAGGCTCGAGACATTACAGAGGAACAATTAGAAATCAGATATTCGACGTCAGAGGGCGCTGACGTTTCCATTATGCTAGTGAAACATGAGAAACAAGATTATCTAGTAGATAGTCTGTAGAGACGGGCTTTGTCTAGTGAAGATGTCAATAGATACAATGGTATTGTTTGCTCTTTGATACGTAAAAGAATTTTACTGTGAAATTGCCGTAATATTTGTATAGGTCACTATTTTTTTAAAACAAAACAAAATACACTACTGCAATTTGCTCGTTGGTAAAATTCAGTTTTACCGCTTTTGAAATAAGAATAGTGTATGAGTCCAATACAATTATATGCATGATTACTTATTAACAGGT